TTCGAATATATATCAATGAAAAGACAATAAAAATACTTGACCGTTGACCGCACCTCACAGAATTCCCTCAGGCTGGGATAAAGGCCTCTGGGATTGTTGTTGTTGCTAATGATGGTGATGTCTACATAGGACAATGCCCTTTTGGTGTTTGGCATTCTTTCTTTGTCTCTAAGTTTACTCAGATACAATCGTGCTTTCTTAGCGACTCTCTCTTTGTTAACTATTCATGTTCATTTTTTTATTGGGAATTACCATCTCTATAATAAGATATAAAACTTTGAATAAAATTAATTTTGTTCACTTGGGAAATATAATTATTTGTTAACTAACTTTTTAAAAGAATTTAATTACGAGAGGTTATCTTTAAAAAATAATCGTTTAAAAATCGATTATGCAATTTAGTATGAAGATAAAATATAATTAGATAATATATGGTAGAAGTAATATTGAAGTGAATCATTAACTAAAACAAACCGTGGATATAGCAAACTTCCCTGTTATAACTAACCTGAACTCATCTACAATATTGGTTCGGAAATAAAAATGAAGTAAGAGCAAATTTGGAAATAATTAATATATTATAAGAAGCTATTTAGCTTTTAGTTTTCCAATAAAATTATATACAAAAGGTATTTATAGGGAGAGAGATAACAAATTATTCCAAGGTAAAATAATAATAATGAGAGTGGTCAGCCACCGTCTCGTTTTCCTTATTTGCCGATAAGATTCCGAGAACCCCTTACACCTGTGGTCGTTCCCCGGAGTCCAGTGATTATTGACAGGTGTCCCGTGGAGTGTGACCGGGGTTGTATAACTACTAAACAATATAATTTTATGCATAAATGTGTGTGTGCGAAACTAATATAGAGTCATTTATTAGTGTGATTATATAATCCAAATAAAAATTTTATTAAGTATTTATTATATCTGTTTAGCTTCAATTAAAATTAATATTTCGATTAGGTTTTATAACGTTTAACCCTTTTCATACTTCTTTAGGTTGATAAGTAATATACAACAACAACAAAAACCTTTATTTAGACACTATTGTCTTACAAGGGGATTCCCCTAGATAAGTAATATAAATAACAAAAGAGTCCAATAATAAGAATGACTGCAAAACTGCAAAATATCTTGCAAATATTTAAATATTTATAAGGAAATCTAGTTTCATCAAGTGAGAGATTTGAATAGTAGAGTGTAAATATCTTTATTTTTCATATTAAATATTAATTGTTATTTTTCCAAAAGGAAATTGATTCATAAAAGCATAGGGCGCCTCTTCCGTCAAAATAAATGTCAAACTAGACGCCATCTGTTTCGTATAGATCACTGCTTCACTTACTAAGCTCGGAAAGCTTGCCGCATCCTGGATATGTTTGGTCTTATCTATATAGTTGTGGCAGAGCTTGACTATTTTATTGCCGGACATCTTCTGGTCTCCAACCTAATTGAAGGCCTATTTGCTTCCTTAAAAGTGTCCACAACACCAGAAACCCTGATGACACTAATAATTTACCAACACCCCTTTATTAAACTTACACATCTTTATATACGGAATTATATTTACAAATATTTAAATCTTCCGAATGAATAAGCGAAAAAATAGAAATTTGCACAACCGGCGTCTCCATACTCCGCCCCACCGCTGAACTTCAGTTCAGAATTAAATTAGTCAGGGCGATAATGGAAGAGGAGCCAGCTTGGTTATCGGTCTACTTAGACTCCTCGGGCTGTCCTGACAAGTGATACTCGCACTTTTTGATCTGTGCCAGGAAACACTTCAATGATTCTTCCCAGTCGCCATCGCATGGGCGGAATATTGTCTTCATCAATTAGGACAAGTTGGTTGACTTCAAAATTCAACCCTTTTTGTTTCCATTTCTTTCCCTGTTGTAAGTTGTTAATGTATTCTCGAAACCATCTTTTCCAAAAGATATTTCTCAGTTTTTGAACCAGACACCACCTAGAGGTTAAACTTATCTTGTCGTCAAATCTAGGTTCTGGTACGGGTTCATCCCTATCAGACTTTACTTTCCATAGATCTTGCATCATTATTTTTAATGTTACCGTTTGTAGGCGAAAGAAAGCCCAATGGTTCAAATATCCTTGTGATATTAGATAAAATATCTCCCTTTGTTTTTACTTCTAAGGGTTTTCTTATTTGGATCCCGAAAGCGTCCCGCGTTTGTTCCATAGAATACTCAAAACCTTCAAAGTGGCGCTGTCACTCGATTCAGTCTTAGTTGTTCTCTTCTCTGATTTCATTTGGGACACAAGTTCTTGGCAATTGGAATTCCATTTTCTAATTGTGAATCCCTCCTTTGACATTATATCTGTCATCTGCCTTATCAGCACTTCGCCATTGCTGGTTGATGAAACTCCCGTTAAGAGATCGTCCACATAAAATCTTTCAGTGCGACTCTTGATGCCTCGGGAAACTCGTTGGATTCATCTCTGGCTATAGCTGCTGCATTGTTCTGATTGCCAGAAATGGAACGGATGTGGTTCCATATGTCACCGTTGACAACCTATAATCCTTCACCGGCTGTTCAGGTGTTTCTCTCCACAAGTTTCTTTGATAATCTGCATCCTCCGTGTAAATCTTCACTTGCCTAAACATCTTTTCTATGTCGGCAGTAATATGATGGAATGTGATCTGAATCCTATTAAAATAAGGAACATATCTCTCTGAATCTTTGGTCCTGTTTCTATTATTTCATTCAGTGAAATACCAGAATCGGGTTTTAATGAAGCAATAAAAACAACTTTCAATTTAGTCGTTGTAGACTGCTCTCTCACACTTCGTGGTGTGGCATGTAGTAGCACTTCGAAGGATCTTTGGGAATGTCCTGTTGTGGCACCAACCCAGCGCCTCATATTCCCTCATAAACTCTTTATACTGTTCACAGATCTTTGAAGTTTTCATCAATCCTTTTTCCAATGTCAGGAATCTTTTCAGAGCTCTTTCCCTTGATTTGCCAAGCATAATATGCTCCTTTTTAATTTGCAGTCTTGCACCATATCTTCCTTGACAGGTTCTAAAATGAGTCTCAATATAATAGTTTTCATAATCCAGCGCTAGCGGATTCGGGTCTTGTGATGGTACGGATTCCAATTCCCAAAAGGTCTTTACGAAATCATTATAACTAAATATATCATATCTGAATATTTATGGCAGATCTTGAATGTATCTTCTTGCCAGACCTTTTCTGGTCTCCAACCAAATTGAAGCCTATATGCTTCCTTAAAAATGCCCACACAACACCAGAAACCTTGATGACACTATTAATTCACCAACACCCGATTTATAACCGGCACACTTTTATTAAACTAACACATCCTTATATACAAAATTATATTTACAAATATGTAAATCTTCCGAATAAATAAGCAAAAAAATAGAAATTTACACAACCGGCGTCTCCACCATCTATTGACCGTCGCCGCAAACTAGCGGCCACGGGTCGGTGACAATGCTACAAGAGGGACGAGGGTTATTAGCCCGATATCAGGGTCTAGATTAAAAAATATATGTCACATAAATATAATGTCTTTCATTTTATTGAATATTTTTATATATTTAATTACTCTTTATAAGCATTATCATAAATATTATGTTTAAATATATATAATATGATATACAAAACGGTACACCTATCCCTTTAACTACGCATCAAGACGATGTACAGCCCATCACCCTAGTATAAACATTATACATAATGATGAAGAATGATCAACTACATTTTTGACAAAAGTAAGACAAAAAGCCAACCTGTATACCATGGTTTAGGGCTTTGGCCCTCATCATTAATGAGGCGATTTTCGATTTTAACAACATTCTATGAGTAGAGTTATGAAATCAGTCGAATTTACCAAATAGGTGTTTAAACTGGTAAAGTGGCAAGGGCCGATATTTAGGCAATACAACAACAACAAAACAACTTTATTAGGGCGTCTTGCCCTGTACAGATTCGCCGTGGAATTACAGACAATATTCAACACAAGAGAAAAGGGAGAGATAGAGTATTTACAATTAAGGTATGGTAAACAGGGTGACTTTTTTTATTGTGCCCCTGTTCTTCTCTCTTCCACGAGTGCAATTTTATTTACAACCGCTTTTTGATAGTTGAACAGTTCTATTGCCCAACTTTTCTTATCTGAAACAGTTTTTATTATCTTTATTGAGTTCAAATGCGGTCTAGGAAGACTTTTCAGGATCATTTTTCTCTCTCCTTCCAGATCCCCGCACTCAGCAGTAAAATGGTATATTTCATCGGTTATCTGACTTCCGCATAACCTACAGTACAAATCATCTTTCTTAATTACGTAAATATGATTTTCTTTATTTAGGCAATAATACAATATAAAGTTGCGGGAGGATGGTATTTATACACAAAATGAGACACCTGTGCCTTTAATATGCCACAACTGGTGTGGGTGTTACTAGGGTGATGTACAGTGCCATCGTTCTAATGCTCAATTGAAGGGAGAGGTGTCTCTTTAGGTACATGAATATCATCTTCCCACAACTTGATGTTGTAATCTTACCTGAGAAAATTGACCTTTGCAACTTCTCCCGAGCTAAAACACCTGTTTGATAAAGTCGACCGATTTCATATGCCTTTTGTAGGATGTTTTGAAATCAAAGATGCCTATATACTGTTGAGGGCCAAAGCCCGAATCCTTTTTATTTTTTGAGCCTTCTAAGATTTCCTAACACCTCTTCTTCGACCTATAAATCCGCACTTTAATTATTTAAAAAAAATATAAGACGGACACAGTGATTCAATATTAGTCATCAACAAGCGAAATCGTATTATATTGAAAATTTCCTTCGAAAATATAGTAAACTAGCCGAATGACCCGGGCAACGCCCGGGGTTTACCCGATTAAATGCTTTTATTCAAATACTATTCGTTACAATTATAAATTGGCGCCGTGGATGTCATTCTTGTATAATATATAAATGAGTTTTAAAAATTGTAAAAAAAAAAAAATTAATCGGCGAGGAATCGAACCCGGGTCGCCCGCGTGGCAGGCGAGCATTCTACCACTGAACCACCGATGGTTATGAGAAATGGCCATATTTGGATATTTATTCCATTGACAAAGCAAACGGTGACAGAATTGATAAAGAATTGTTGCTTGATTATGACGCTGATAACTGTATATATTAATGGGTAGAGTTTTGATATAGTCATAATATCGGGAATTCATTTTGATTTTTGAAGCAAACATTGAGCATAAATCATCTTTTTTTTCTATAGTGGTGATGGACGAATAGCGCATTGTCAAGCACACTAGTGATGGCATCATAAAGAAGTTTTACATCAAATTATAAATTAATATATTTGAAGTAAATTTATTAAATCAATATTCAAAGCAAGTCTGATGGGTTCGAGTCCAGTAGCGCGTAAGAGCTGTTTACAAATGTTTTTTTTTGGAATGTTTATATTGGAAAGAAACGCCTGTAGAAGAGTTCATTATATATAACTCGCGAAATCTTGCTAATAATAATAAATTATAAAATAAAATATTTTTCGGAGTACTTGTTCAAGTATTCAAAAACCACATAATAGAGAAATTTTGCATTCAGAAATTCTTCAAAACGTTTTTCCTTTCATTAAAATATTTTATAAATTAATTTTAAATTTTGATAGTAGATATAAAAAGGTGTATTGAACTAGCCAAATTAAATGTGTTAACATCACACACACACACACGCACACACACACACAAGTAATGCCTAAATATTCTTATTATTGCATATTTTACAAGTCTGAAAATATTTGAAACGCTTTGCGTTCTATAGTAAAATTTATTTTCCTCCAATTTACCCAGACTATTCTATTTTTTAGCTTGATTGTCTTTATTTAATTTTTCCTGTATATAAATATCATATTATCATTAAGGTATTATTACTTTTTTTCACTGCATGTATCCTACATTTCTGCTTGAAGAATCTATATAAGACTAAAGGTTCTTAATAAAGCTTTTTGTTGTTGTTTTATAAACTATTTTGTATTGTTTAAAAATAGTAATCAGATTTTATATATTTCTATATTTTCTTCAAATATATTAGGAAAATGTATATGAGAGAAAATCTGTGTTCTTACAAATACGAGGCAACATACTATGCAATATATAGAGATGACAAGAAAAAATAGTTTTTTCCTGCGTTGTTGTTTTGAGCGAAGAGAAAAAAACTTACCTGCCCTGGATGTATCTTAAAGTAGATGCAGACAGTTGCTAGAGAGGCGTTAAGATGTGGAGCACGTTGTAGATCACGAAGAAACTTGCTGATTTTGATAGCTCGGTAGCTATGAAACTATAGAAGAGTTAAGTGCTTATCCTCTTAATTCTTTGTATGGTGTCAGTAGGCAATCCATTATATTGAATCATGCTGCTAACCAAAGATTAATTGGCATTAGCGCCTTTTATCCGTGCAGTTTTATCAAGAACCATTGCCCTTTTCTTCTTTTTTTCATATAAATTCCTGACGTCTACTTCTTCTTTCTTATCTTCACTCAATCATATTAGGGTATCAAGCCTGTTGTGCTTGAACATCGAATTTGGCGGTCCAAGCCTGGATGAAAAAGGAAGATGGGGAGCAGTAACAAGTTTGTTAAAAACCTGGGCTCAACTGGCCCGGTTGATAGTACCTTATAACGGCTCCTTATAAAGGGATACGGGATGAGCAGCGTTTGTACTCCATTTTAGAAGTGGCTGCACATGGCGTCTGTTCTTCATATCAGAGGCAGCCATTTTACATTGGAACTAAGTCGGCCTGCTACTATGTAGAGCTTCCAGTCTTAATGATAAAGGCAGACGCATTCTACTTTATCCAGGTTGAAAAAAATAAAAAATACACACAAACTATTACTTTAAATGAAAAGAATTACACATCATCGCGCGCAAGGCCTATGTCAGGTTTTCAATGCAATCAAGCAGCTGATTTAAATGGTTAACTGAGTTCTTCTCTTTATAGGTTTGAAAATGTAGAGACAATTTGATTCATAAGTTGAACAGGTAAAATGGGCTAGTTTGATATCCTTCGGAGCGAACAAATGTCGTTTTCCACTGTTGAATTATAGGGATCATCTAATAATAGATCTTAGGAAGAATATATTGAAAGATCTTGAGAATGATTTTTTTTAAAAAGAAAACTTGGAAAATTTCGTCCAGACGGTCAAAGGCAGATTCCATTTCTATTTCGGTGCTTGACAATAGCGGCGATCCCTTTCTCAATGCAATAACCACGTTATTAGAAAAGAGTTTTTATCACCATCCAGTAATGGCGTATTCTTTCTTCTCGGCGAGTTACTCGATAAGAAAAGCGTTCTAGAATATGACACGATAGTCTGCGATTGAAATCAAATTATGTTTTGGAGCTCACCGAACCCATATACCATGGTTTACAAGAACTTTCAGAGGTTATTCAATAGTAATTTAATAAATTGAGGCATAAGAGATGCCCCACTACGAAGATCCCCTTTAGAATTATAACAATGAAGCTTTCTAAAGTCGCCAGGTGCTCGTAGAGAAGCACATCTTACTAAAAGGCATTTTAGAACTGCTAAATATAGCAAAATATTATTCTATGATTTCAAAATTCTGTGAATAGTAGTTGTAGCTCAGAATAATTTGTCTTTGCAGATGACATTGAAATTACCCGAAGCTCAGGTAAAATTGGCATGAAAACCGGATTTAATTCAAACAGAATTTAGATTCTTGTCTCAATCTTTAAGAACTTCCAAAGACCACATAATCAAAGGCCACAGACAAGTTCTCAATCTTGATATGTATAATTTCCCATCCGCGATACGGAAACGGTGATTCTTGAAAAATTAGAATTTTGATGAACGATTGAGAGAGCTCTTATTATAATTTCGCTAGAAATATTAGCTAGAAATCATCGCATTTTAAACGTCGCTATTCAAGAAGTACGAATGAATTTTAACCGTTGTAGAAAAAATATGGAAGAAATTATTATAGACCTGATAAAACACGGCACGTTGGTTCTTTATGGAATAATATAAATATCAATAGAGAGTTCGACATAATCAATTGAGAAGTAAAATCCGTTAAAGCATGTTCCAATTTACAACATTCGTTTGATGGTGCAATGCGATAAAATAATGATAGGGGTGTCTTGTCCATGGAGCAGATCAGATCGGTCCGTTCACCCTGATCACAATACCGGCCAACCAAGGTGCCTTGTTCATTTCCCACTGGTTCCCCGGACTACAGACCTCAGCACCGACAATTTATGATTTTGTTGCTCCATGGAATGAGGGTGCCATTATCCGTTAGTGAGCCACATTTCAAAGTTCCCTGTTCACGGTTACCGTAGTGGTTCGGGGCTCACGACACCGTACTTCGCCCTACAGGGCAGTCCCTTACTTGTGCTGCTTCTCCCGCTCGCCACGTAGAGGAGGATTTCTGGGCAGGGACAAAGATAATAACAGCAATGACAAGGAAATTCAGTTCAGAAACAGAATAAGAACTCAAAAGGTAGATGCTATTTCTCTTATACATATCCCTCGATGAGAGAAAATTCTTAATTTTGAGAGACAACTTGACATTTAATTGTTTCAGATTCTAAAGACACACTTTCATCAGGAGTGTATAAAATTGATCGAATTAGAACGTTCATAGAAACGATAGAGATGTTGTCCAGCAATCAGACATGAAATAAAGATCGTCCATCAGGTAGAAAGACAGCCGATTCCCGAAACCCACTGAAATCAAGTGGTACATCGCAAAAAATGTCTAAAATCTTTATTATTCCTCTATAGGTTAATTCCCTGGATATGACACTGATTGTTATTTTAGAAAAAAAAAACAGAATGTCCCATGGCACCGTTTATAAGCAGAAAACTACCAAATTGCTCGTAATTTATTGCAGTCTTTGACATAATATCTATTATCATAATTATTTAAGATAAGGTGGAGTTTGTTGTAATAATGCTAATACTTCGTGACAATAGTCTTCTCACCAGTTTTCGAATTCAATCCGAAACCTCCCTCTTCTTGAATTTCAACCCCACCTCATTCTATTACTAGCCGAATGACCCGGGCAACGCCCGTGTTTTACCCGATTGAATGTTTTTATTCAAATACTATTTGTTACAATTATAAATTGGCGCCTTAAATAAATGCATATATTAGTTAATAACTATAGTCTATGTGCTTTATCTGTCTATGTACTGTTGGCTTCCGTAGGCGTCTCTTACTGGGAAAAAGAAAGAGAGGATTCCATTTAGTTATTAACTAATATATACATTTATTTAAGGAGCGACCCGCTCCAACACAATAGTTACAAAAACCAAAAAGCGAGTGGGGGGCAAAGGGGGGGGGGGGGGGGGGGGGGGGGCAAAGGTGGCGTGATCGTAGCCAACCAATAGGAGAGCGCCATTCAAAAAAAAAAAAAGCTAACGGTGACAGAGATGAAGAATTATTAAGAACGCATGACGCTCGTAACTGTATATAGAATACCGATAACCACTCCGATTCTCAGACAAAATGTCCGAACATGTTGGCTACTTTGTCTCAGTCGTCTACGTCAGACCATATCGCAGCTCTATCATTGTTTTTATTACCTCTCGGTCACGTAATCTCTTAATCCATTTGTTGACTTTGCTTAGACTTATTAATGAAATTGATTCCAATAATTATTAATTAAACATTATATTCATTGATTTACAAGAGAGAGAGAACAAAATATAAAAGGGAAACTAATATTAAACAAAGGAACATTTTTGTTTTGTTTTGGTCAGCGCCTATTTACCTGTGAGCTTACACACACTCTGTGGAACAATTAATTAATATACGAGTATATACAACACCATTGAATCCTCAATATTTTAAAAAAGAGTATTCATCTCTAAAGTTTCTATCCTTAACATATCTGCTATTCTAAGTTTTAAGTTCACGGAGGGATATGTGCAACCGCACCAAATGATCCTGTATAAATTTAATGTTTTAAACTTTTATTCTTGTGGAAGCCCTTTTTCTTTCTTTCTAAATATTATATTTTGAAGAATTATTTACTTTTCTATTAGAGTTTAT